CTCTTAATTCAATGAATAGAGGGATTTGTTCTAATAGTGTTTGTAAATAGGATATCATGTCTGCATCTTGTACAGCAAATAACCACTAGGAAGAGAGTATGCAATGTGTTAATCATTGAAACTGTCCTAATTTAATTTCAAACTGTCTCATTGCTATGTTTCTCAATAAAATTACGGAAAAAAAAGACCCTATCTCAAAAAGACAAGAAAAAAGAAAGAAAGAAAGCGAGCGAGTGAGAGAGCAAGCAGGCAAATACAAGCAGAAAGCAGCCCAGCGTTGCCCACAGCGGAAACAGGCAAGCACGCAGCAGGAGACAGCTAGCCGGAGGGCGGGAATGCCTGGCCCTGGTATGCGGTACTACGTGCCCACTCAGTAAATGTACTAGAAGCTATGAGCTAGGCATGTAACATACTTTAATCAAGTTGCTTTTTAAAAAGTCAAATATGGGCTCTTGTTAGCACTACTATGTGACCCTGAGCAGGATTTAAATTAACCAGTTGGCTTTTCGTGTTTATGTGGGCTTGCCCGAGGCTTAGGCCCTGGTCTGGAGACGGGCAGTGACTAGTAGGTGAGCCTCTGTGCCTCACGCGTCACTGCTGAGGCCCACACTGGCCTGTGAAGCTGGAACGCTTCAAGGGATGAGATGAGGCCTCAGCTGAGGTCTTTGGCTCCAGCCCAATTAACTAAAAGAGACTGCAGCTGCAGGCTCCCCATCTACAATAAATGTCAACCTAAAGATAAGGGGGGGGGGTTTCTCTTGATTGACATAATTTACTACTTGGGAAAATATCACCCAAAGTCCTGCTAGCTTCCCGCATTTTCTCTAGTATCTTCCTCCTTTGCCTGAATGCCAAATAAATATGGGCTACCTGCCCAGAGATGTTCTCGGTCCAAAACCCCAGAAAATCTCAAATTCTGTGGGAGGGATTTTGATCTTCCTGGAGCCCTGAAATCATACCATGTCGTATTTTTTAAAGGCTTCACTGTCCACTAGTTTGCAGGCCTGATCAGCCCGCAGTAACTAGGGGTATTATTCATCTGACACCGTTTCATTAGTAAATCTTTGGATTCTTTTTGAACTTATTTTGGCATGAAGGACACCCATCCCACACCCTTAGCACCTGCTGGCTGGCCCCGTTCCAGCCTCTCCCTTACCTCGATGGCTTGGTGGAGGGACTTGTCGTATTTCTCGATGAATTCCCGCCGGATGTTGAGCAGGTCTGTCTCACTCCGGGAAACCATTATCCTGGTGAGGGTCTTCTCATCAGTGCCAGCACCCTGGTGGAGGCGGGCCGGTGGGACAGGGCAGAGGCAGAGACACAGGGGGTCAGGGAGAAGCAGCGGGAGGCCCCCCTCCCCCTCCATAGCCAGGAGGGGATATTCTGGGTGCCCTGTCCATGAACAGTTTGGGCCCCAGGGCATCCTGCAGAGATGAGCCAAATGGAGAGGCAAAGGAGAACCCACATGGTGTGTGGTGTGGGGGTGTGTGTGCGCGCGCGTGCGCAGTGTCCTGCCCACGCTCAGCCTTGGGAGCCCTGGGGCCTGACCTAATGTGAAGCAGGATCTTTGAACATATAATGAGTTAAGATGAAGATACTAAAAAAAAGGGGGGGGGAGATGGCTGAGTAGCATAAGGGCTTCCCTGGAAAGTGCAAGGGTCTGAGTTCAATCCCCGGTTCTGAAAAAAAAAAAAAAAAAAAAGAGGGAGATACTGCAGAGTGGGGGGACCCTATATCTGATAACTAGTATCTCTCCTTATTTTTATTTTATTACTATTTTTTTGCTGTACTGGGGATGGGACTGGGGCCTCACGCGTGATAGGCAAGCGCTCTACCACCAAGTTACATCCCCAGCTTTGGTATCTGTCAGGCTAGAGCCCCAGGAGTGACCAAGACCGTGAGGATGGGCAGCACTGGAGCAAACAGCGACGTCTTTGTTTCAGGCTGGGGGCAGCTGGCCAGGGGCGAGAAGGCCATTGACCATGAGCACAGGAAAAGAATCTGCTTTACAGGCTAACTTAGGCAGGGGAGGGGTCCCTTGGCGGGCAGGAAGCGCCTGGGAGAAGCACAGGTGACAGTAGCCTTTGGCTGGCTTACAGAGCAGCACCCTATAGTTTCTGGAAGCCTGAGAACCAGGTCTGAGAGCCTCCCTGATAAACAGATTTATTTTAGTCTCTCAGGCCGAGCGAGGGAGCTTCCCTGTTTGAACAGACTGGTCTGCCGCAGTGTTTCTCTTTAGTTGGGAGGGGTCTAATTGTGAGGACCTAACAGTATTGCTGTAAGAAGGGGGGACCAGACACGAGACAGCAAAGGTCCTGTGATGATAAAGGCAGAGATTATACTGACTTGTCCCCAAACTAAGAAACACGGAAGTTTCAGCCACCACCAGAAGAGGCAAGCGGAGGTGCAGGCCAGCTCCGCCCTCGCAGCCGGTGGACAGGATGAGTCCTGCGGACACCTTGAATCTTGGATTTCTAGTACCACAACTGGATAAGTTTTTGTGGTTGCCCAATGTATTCTAATTTGTTACAGAAATCCTAGGGTGCTGTGGGCAGTTCCAGGACATGGCATGTGGGAACAGCTGGGGCTGGTTCTGCCACCGCTGCTGTGACCTACGAGCCATGTAAGCACAAGTGGAACTTCAACCTGCCTCTGCTCCTCTATAAAATGAGGGTGCTACCACGACCTGTCAGGACTGCTGCAAGGGTCAACTGCTGCTGGGAGATGGCACACCTGGCACCGAGCTTGGCATGTGGCACTCAACGAATGGCGGACGGGTCTGTCTTTCCTTCCTAGCCACCCACTCTGGCTAGCTCAGCAGCTGAGAGCAAATGGCTTGGCTGGGAGACAGGGCTGAGCACTGGTGACCTTAGATGATCATTTGTCAAGGGACCCTCGGTCAGCTGCTAGAATGTGAGTGTAGGGGACAGTGTGTGTCCCCAGTCCTGTGTCCCTGGGGCAAGTCTCTTCACGTGGCTTTTGGGGGAGGTCGTTCTTTGTTGTGAGGACCTGCCTTGTGCATTGCAGTGTGTTCACCAGTGTCTCACCCCACCCCCTCCCCACCAGATGCCAGCAGCAATACTACATGGCCAACTGTCCCTGAGGGAGAGTCACTGCGTGTGACAGCTACTGCGCTAGAGCCGGACAAGGGCACGTGCTGGCACACGGAAGGAAGCGGCTCCTGGAAGTCCCGACCCGGGGGTGCCCAGGTCTGTGGGTGCATGAACGCCAGCACCTAAGGGAACGGGGTCACTCAGCAAAACATCTTACCTTCATGGATTTGTAGAGTTTGTCAGCAAAGAACAGAGGCTTGTTCTTGACACTCTGAACTGAGGGGAGAGGACATAGGGAACTCAGTCAGAGCTGTGCACTAGGCGAGTGGCGGCGAACCGATGGCTCATGTGTTACTGTGTTTTTAAGACAAAAGATGTCAACGTAGAGCTGTTTTTTCTAAACTGAAACCTCAGTGTCCAGGTTTAATTGCAGTGTTGCAAATGGTGATGAAGAAGTCGGGTTTTGGGGTGCGGCTTGGCCCTCAGTCTCTAGAGGTTCGCTGTCCTGGGCTAGCTCTGGGCTGGCCTTCTCTGCCCCTTTCCCCTGCCTGGCTCTATAGACTGCCACCAAGCCCAGGGCCACACTCAGGGTGACATCTTCACTTCCCCTTCCAGTGCCACCTCCTTGGCTCCTTTGGCCTGGCTCTGCCTGCCCTGCAACTCACGCCCAGCTAACAGTGCACGCAGCTGACCGAGGGGAGTAGAGGGCGCAGAGGAACGCAGCGCTGAACTCTCCAGTGCATCGAATCACAGAAGAAGCCCAGGCTGGCTTGAAGTTGTGATCCTCCTGCCTCAGCCTCCCCGTTACCGGGTTTGTACTGCCATGCCAGGCTTCTAGAGACATTCTGAGAACTCATCACCGAGAACCTGATAGAAATGCAAATTCTTATGCTTTACCCCAGATGTGCAGCGTATGAAACTCTGGAGGTAGCTGAGCTACTCACCCAGTTCACCTGGGACACTCCTGTAGGGTGACCACTGTAAGAAGCCCGCAGTCCAGGCTGGCTGGTCACCCAACTAGGCGCAGCCTGATGTTTGAGAACAACCAATTCAGAGAAATACGACCCCGAAGTGCGGCTGCCCATAGAATTTAAGGCCCTGTGACTGGCTTGGGGTGTGGATTTCAGCTGGTGCGCGATCTCAGGGACCTGGGGCCTCTGTGACATGGCTGATAAGAAAGCGCACCTACCCCCTGAGCTAACTCTAATAAGTGATGGCCCGCCTCACGAAATCCCACCAAAGCTGCCCAGGGGCTGGGTGCCAGTAAAGGAGGTCAGGTCTGGGATTTGCCCAAGGAGAGACAGTGTGAGAGGGACCCCTGCCGCCCCTGGGCCGCAGTAACAGCAACACCCCACGCACCTAATCTAAGGCACATGTTCTGTAAAACTACTTTGGACCATTGATGAGTTAAGTGAGAACTTTGTACTGACACGTTCTGGCAAGATTAAAAAAGCTGCACCATCAATATGTTTCAATAGTAAATTAAGTAGGAGCCCAATAAGTTATGCCAATAAATACAAGTTTGACCTTTGTTCTACCTGCTTATCTCTTATTGAGAAATTGAGATTGAAAAGTGACCTTCTCAAAGTCAAGAACTTAAACTGTATGAGCGGAGAGTGCCCACGAGTCAGATGGTGGGAAGGGGGAGGGGGAAGGTGTGTGTGTGTGTGTGTGTGTGTGTGTGTGCGCAAGCACCATCTATGTCTTGTGCATAGACTCTGTGAGTATACCTAGCGTGCCTGCACAGTGTGTTGTGCACACGCCTCGCACTGTGTGTGCAGGTGTGCCCCCCCGTGGGTCCTTTGTTCCCCAGTGGGGCTTGCAGAAGGCAAAAGATCCTGGGCTCTGACCTCACCATGGATCAAGCCGCTGAAGCTCAGCACTCAGTGGTGCCGCGGGGAAGCAGAAGCAGGAGAAGGTGGAGCTGAGGGACCGGGCCTGGGAGCACACACCCCGAGGCCTGCACCTGGCTCCCACCCCTGCTCTGCTCCCTGGCTGCCCTTGGGCGGCAGCTGTTCCCTGCTTGGCCACCTCCGGTGCTCCCGCCTTGACACAGTGGAGCCAGCCAGCCACTGACTGACTCCTTGGAAACAGACAGCCAGAATCAATCTTTCCTCTGTCTTCCAAGTCCTTGGTCACAGTGTGTCTGCAGTGTGTGTGCTCCCGGCGTGCAAGATGCTGAGCACTCCCCCCCAGGCCCCTGGCTTTCCCTGGAGAGCGCCCCTCCCCCTGCAGCCTGGAACAAAGCCCTGGCGCGAAGGACCTCTGGAGGTGACAGCAGCTGGAGGCTGCTGTGTCACGCTCCTTTAGGGAGCCCAGCTCTCTGCACAGTCCCTGCCAATTACCAATGGCCACAAAGGCATCCCTGACGTCCCCGGACATCTCCTTCTTGATGACATGTTCCACGTCGTAGTTGGTCTTCTTGATGAACTCCTGGAAGACTGGCAGCAAGAGAAGCCCAGAGGCAGAGGAGAGATGAGGTTCAGAGGGGAGAGTTCACCCTCCCTGCTCCCCCCACAGGCTGTACCCTAAAAGTGGGCAGGGCAGCAGACAGGGCCCGCCCAGGCTCAGGGCGTCATGAGGAACTGCTGTGAGGGAGGCTCTGGTTGCAAAGCCACTGTGGCTCGGAACCAAATCTGTACTGGGTTGGCACTCCAGGTTTGGCCAAGGGTCCAGATTCTGAGGACCTAGGCTGGTGTAGAGCAAGGGACAGGTCCTCGTCACGGCCCTGCCCCAGCCTGCTGAGGGAGCCCTGTGCTCTGGCAGCATCAGGGTGGGACAGCGCTTATCCTATGTGTTAATCCTAGTTATCAGACACTTAGGGGGCACCACGGGAGGGCCTGCTGCCACTGCGGTGTGCCCCGTGCTTCTTGTATCCACGCGACACTCACGCGGACAGAACTCAGATCCAATTCCTAGATAGGGGACCTAGGCAGCGTGGTCCCATCACTGCCCAGTCACATGGCTGATAAGGTGGGCGTTCAGATCTGTGTCTCCTCTGCTGTTGCTTTTTTCTTAGTTCTAGGGGCTGAACCCAGCACTAGGGGTTGAGCCCAGAGTCCTGTGCACCACAGCCAAGTGCTCTACCACTGAGTGCTCCTCAGTTTTTAAATCCTGCTAGAAGCCAGGCATGGTGGTGCGCACCTGTAATCCCAGCAGGAGGAGGCTGAGGCAGGAGGACTGCCGCAACTTTGAGGCCAGCCTGGACTATATAGTTAGTTCAGGGGCAGCCTGAACTCTACAGCAAGAAAAAAAACAAAACAAAATGACACTTTTTGAGACAGGCTCTTGCTGAGTTGCCTAGGCAGGACTTGAACTTATGATCCTCCTGGCTCAGCCTCCTGAGGGCTGCCACTGTGGCTGTGCACCCCCATGCACAGCTCCAAGACCATTCTTTGTCACCCAGTTAAATGTTGGACAGTACCGCATGAACCCATGTTGTAAGGGTCTTGGCAGGGGGGCACTTGATGGTCATCTTGTGTAGGGAGCCCTGCACACAGGTATGGTCACAGGCGTAATGTGGTCTTGTGCCATCCCAGTCCCTACCACCTCAGGATCCTCAGCACAGCCTCAGCCCACCAGTGATGGCCTTGGAGGTCACCTCTACCCTCAGCCCAGCGCCCCACTGTTCTCCTACAGGAGCTGGTCCTAGGGTGCTGCATGCCACGCAGCTGTGTCCCCGTGGGCGACCATAGGCCACTGCGGAGAGAAGGAAGGGGTAGCTAGCTCCTCTCTCCACAGAGAGCTGAGGGGGTCCTCAGATAGGGTCCTCCTGCTGACCTGGAGGGGGCCTCACCTCTGCGCAGGTGTGGGAAGCTCCGGGTGCACAGGATGGTCATGAACCGCGTCTCCAGGGAGGTTTTGTCTCCACTGGGCGTGTCTGCTATTTCCTGTGGGGTCCAGGTTGGGAGAGGAGACACAAGAGAGTCTTGGTTACTGCTCTCTGCTCAGGCCACGGGAGTCAGCAGGGGCCACAGGGGCTGAGAAGGTCCCTGGCGGCACCCTAGGAGGGTGTGGCCTGCGTCCAGTCCTCTCTCCAGCTCCCAGAGGCCCCAGGGACACGCACAGACGGCCCGTGAGGTGCAAAGCCGCACTGGGCAGAGACCTGGAGCTCTCCTTTGTTCCCCACACTTGTCTGAGCACCCCAGGGGCCATGCATGTGGCTGGCAAGGACCAGAAGCTGAGACACACGTTGAACACACTCAGACCTGCATTCCCACACACACCCTCCAGCCAGCTGCAATTCAGCATGTCAATCTAAGTTCCCTTTAAAATAAGTTGGTTTTTTTTTTTTTTTTTTTTTTGTGGAACCGGGGATTGAACTCAGGCCCTTGCACTTGCCAGGGCCTGAGCCATCTACAGAGCCATCTCCCAGGCCACTAAAATAACACTTTGTAGGTTAAAAAGAGTGAGTCCATTGAAAGTGAATAATAACAGCTGGTGGAAAAAGCCTACTGGGGCGAGGGCTGAGGTGGGGAACACTGGCATGGCCCCTTTTCTACCATCAGGGGCCCTAAGCAGCCTGAAGGGGAGAGAGAGAAGCCACGGAGCAGCTCCCCAAGTCCTGCCCGCTCAGTCCCGCCCAGGCCAAGGCCCCAGCTGCTTTCTCTTTGCCCTGCAGGGGTGGAATGAGGCCCTTCAGGAAGACAAGCGCAGACTCTTAGCACCCGCAGACAGAACGGGACACTCACCAAGATCTCAGCAGCCACCTGAGAGTGGGGAGGACAGAGAGGAGGGAAAGATGAAGGCAAGAGTCAGAGGAGGCTGGAGAAGATGGCCTGGGGGTACTAGGGGACGAGGGGGTGGCCGAGAGGCGACTCTGAGACGCTCGGGGCCTGGCTAGGGTGGGGAGCACTCTCAGAGGGGAGCTCGGCCGAAAGTCTCTTTGATTTTGATTTTCCCTGTGCGCATCTGGAGTACACAGTGACTGCCTTCATGGAGGGCAGCAGGGTGCACACAGCACACCCCAGTTCCTTTTACAGTCCGGTCCCCTGCTCTCCTTTCTCACCCCTTCCCTGCAGACCTGTGGGGAAAGAGCGCCCAAGGCGGGGGGGGGAGGATGGGAGACACTGTAATTCCAGCCAGACGAGAAGCCTGGGGCGCACAGCCAGCGGCGAGGGGTGGACGGCCCCCACCCTTCTGCAGGCGGAGCAGCTAGGACCTGCCTTGGAGCCAAACAGCTGGCCCTTGTGGTCCTGGGCTGGGGACACCCCTGCCTTCTGCCAACTCTGCGAGCCACTTCACTCTCGTGGGAACGCCCTGCCACTGGCCTTATAAATCCCACACAGGCGTTATGCCTGCAAACCTTCTCCTCGCATCACTGGCAAGGAGCGAAAATGCACGAGGAGCCTTTGCGTGGTGGGGAGTAAGCCCTACAGAGAGGCTGGGAAAGCCTCTGCTGTGCAATCAACCCAAGGGTGCTCTTCACAGTAGTGTTTGCAGGAGAGGAAAGTGAGAAACGAGCTGTGGATTGCCCAAGGGAGGCGACTCAGGCAGCTTTTGAAAGTGACAGTGGGCTGGGCTGGGCATGGCAGTGCAGGCCTCTAATCCCAGCACTCAGGAGGCTGAGGCAGGAGCATTTCTGGGAGTTTTAGACCAGCTTAGGCTACATAGTGAGTTCAAGGCCAGCCTGAACTGTATGCAGAGACCGTCTCAAAGGGGCGGGGGGGGGGGTTTGCTGGGTGTGGGCACGCTCAGTGTGAGCAAGGCTCTGGGTTTAATTCCCAGCACCAGGAAAAGACAGGGAGAATGTTCACGGGGCTAGAAACGGGGCTTCCATTTAAATTATGTTAAAAAGCACAGCATAGTTTGTGTAATAGTGTTTCTTTTATCTAGAGTAAAAAAATACAAAGGTAGAAGGTACATCAGAAGTTGTCAGGACGCAGCTGAGTGATTACCTCTGAAGAGAGAATGTGGGGAAAATGTATGTATGTATATTATTATTATTATTATTGTTATTGTTATTACTATTATCATCATTATTATTTTGTGGCCAGCTCAGCCTGCCCTGGGGGCTGGGCTGGCTCGGCACCTGCCAGAAGTCCCTGCACTAGCCTAAATGGTGCTTTAGATTGCTGAGTTATCTCACCAGCCTGTATTCTTAAATTAATACTGAGTTAATTTTTAAATTAATCCTGACCACCTTTTCCTATCACACAAATACATTACTTTTTTTTTTTTTTTGTAGTACGGATTGAACCCACAGCCTTGTTATTCTACCACTGAGCTACAGCCCCAGGCCTTCAAAAATTTTTTTAAAATTTGAGACAGGGTCTCGTAGTTTAGATGGGAGCCCTTTTTTTAAACTTTTGATCCTCTTAACATTTTTGTTTTTCAAAGCATCTCTAAGAGAATAACAACAACAACAACAACAACAAACTTTATGCCAGAAATCATCTGTGTATTTCCTAGAAAGGTCAAGGGGGGCCTCAGCCCGAAGGCAGAGTGTAGGCCTGCCGGAAGGCCCTGGCTTCGGCTCCCAGACCATAAAAATTCCCAGCAGTAACAACCAGGCAAAAAACCCAGGTATCACATTACCCAGCCATTCTATTCATAGATACCCCAGGAAGACGAAAATACATGTGCCCCAAAGCTGGCCTGCAAGTGTTCCTAGCCGCGGCGTTGTTGTTCAGTGCCAAAAGGCAGAACCCAGAGGCCCATCGATGCTGAGGAACGCAGCAAAGTGTGGCTGCAGGTACTGTGGGAGAGCGCGTCCGCCGGCAGTGAAAGGGGATGGGCACTGACACGCGCTACAGCACCACGGCCTTGA